AAATTGATCATGAATGTGTAACACGAACAAAACACTTGTCCACGTTTATCACCTACATCGATGTCACTGACCCCTTGAAAACCAGAAGACATAAATCTGCAGAAACGGCGTCAGCATCTACCTCAAAGGTTTGTACTTATTTTAAGAAGACTGTGCTCAAAGATGAGGATTTCAGGGGATGCAGCTGCCGAGAGGGTATTTATCTATTGCTCTGTGAACGACTTGTTTTGATCCAATGACTTCTCTGCAAAATTCATTTGCTCGTTTTGATTTCAAGTTTCCTTGTACATGACAAAGAGTGAACCAATAAACAGCTTTAAATGAGGAGCTCTGTTAGCAGAAGGACTTCACAGTTAAATGATGCCACTTATGTGATGTCATCTATATCATTAGATGCTTCAAATAGAAAATGAGTTGAATTAGGGTTCTCCAGAGAAAGAGAACTAATGGGATGGGTGTGTGTATGAGAGAGAGAAAGAAAGAGAGAGAGAGAGAGAGAGAGATTTATTTTAAGCAATTGGCTCACACGATTGTGGAGGCTTCTTCCCAAGTCCAAATTCTGGTGGGGTAGGCCAGCAGGCGGGACAACTCAGGGAGGAGTTGCTGTTCCAGTCCAAATACAGTCTGCTGGCAGAATTCCTTCTCGATTAGGGTCAGCATTTGCTCTGTTCAGGCCTTCAAATGATTGCATGAGGCCCACCCACATCGTGGAAGGTAATCTGCTCTACTCATTTAAAATGATTTAAATGTTAATCTTCTCCAAAAACCACCTTCCCCGAAACTTCCAGAATAATGTTTGTCCAGCTATCTGGGCACCGTGGCCCAGCCAAGTTGACACATAAAATTAACCGTCACGTTAATGAATTCCAATACTTCTTCACTATTGCATCCAGCTCATGGAATCAAAGCAAAGCTTACAGAAATTTATTCTGATGAGGGGGAACTATACAAGATTATTGAGAAAGCTACTGTAAATGCAGTTTAAACATTCAACATTTATGGGGCACCTGGGTGGCTCAGTAGGTTAAGCATCCGATTTCGGCTCAGGTCATGATCTCACGGTTCATGGGTTCAAGCCCTGCATCGGGCTCTGTGCTGATAGCTCAGAGCCTGGAGCCCACTTCAGATTCTGTGTCTCCCTCTCTCTCTCTGACCCTTTCCCGCTCACACTCTGTGTGTGTGTCTCTCTCTCAAAAATAAATAAAATAAACATAAAAAAAATAAAAAAAATTCAACATTTAGGGTGAGTATTTTGGTGGTGATTATTTTTTTCATAGAAATACAAATTTGGTGGAGAAAAAAAGACAAAATTATTTTGTCTCTATGAAAGTTTTATTTTCTGTAATAATGAGTAACAATTATTATTTTCTTGACTTCTTTTTTGGTTTCAAGACTATTATAATTTTATTTTATTTTTTATTTTTGAAGACAATTATAATTTTAAAATAACACATTTTGATTTAAAAATTTTTTTTCAACGTTTATTTATTTTTGGGACAGAGAGAGACAGAGCATGAACGGGGGAGGGGCAGAGAGAGAGGGAGACACAGAATCGGAAACAGGCTCCAGGCTCTGAGCCGTCAGCCCAGAGCCCGACGTGGGGCTCGAACTCACGGACCGCGAGATCGTGACCTGGCTGAAGTCGGACGCTTAACCGACTGCACCACCCAGGCGCCCCCACATTTTGATTTTAAATATATTGTCCAAATTCAGCAAAATATTTCACATGTGAACCAGATTTTCACTTACCAAATAAAAGTATCACATCTTACAAATGGCACTGTTTGCTGTTTTAAATTTTTCTTAAGTTTTTTTAATTCATTTTGAGAGAGAGATAGAGCACGGGCAGGGGAGGGACAGAGAGAGGGAGACAGGATCTGAAGCGGGCTCTGCACTGACAGCACAGGGCCCGATGTGGGGCGCGAACCCACAGACCGTGAGATCATGACCTGAGATGAAGTCAGATGTGCTTGACCAACTGAGCCGCCCACCTGTCCCCGCTGTTTAAAATTTTAAACACTAATAAAAGCTCCAAGTCGTCCTAGAATGACAGGAATGAAATGATAGTACTGTTTCTTTGTCTTTAGAATCACCAGGCTATCACTGTTTAGTTCAAGCCTCTGTGACAATACGGGGGTATGTGCTACCACAGGTGTTGCGGAAAGAAACTGCAAGCCACAAACAAACTGGAAGGGCTCTGAAGTGTTGGGACACCTAATTTAGACACAAATGTGGGTAGTCGAGTCCACATGTCAGGGGCCAAATGTATAACTAGAAGTGCTCTGAATGAACTCTCGGTGGAACGCAGTGTTTGGTAAAAGGATAAGTAATAAACATGTGCTGATATGAACTTCAAAGTCTATGTCCAAAGAAGTGCATTCGTAGGTTTACCAAAAGATATGTAAAGATACATACAAAATGTTCATAGCAGCACTATTTGTAACAAACCAAACCTGGAAACTGCCCACATGCCCATCAACAGGAGAATGGATGTCTTAGAGACTAGAAAGATAAACAGAGTGAAAACTTGGTTAAGGCAAGTTTAAGGCACTTGTTGTGGAAGGGGGGGGGGGGG